GATTATTGAAATCAAATATTTTCTTTACTGAAATTTTACGTACCACTTGGAGTTCTATTTTGTTGAAGATGAGTAGACGTACACACGAGATAGTCTCGAGTAACAAAAGTGTAACAGCTGACAATTAGATAGCAGACACTAAAAGTACTATTTTATTTGAATTGTGAAGAATGTATTAAATATCTCAAATATTTTTTCTATAAATATATTACCCAGCTCTGAACGTGAAGTAGTAGCGAAACTTCGCGCGAAATTCTCTACTAAATATATAAATAAACAAATATAATAATAATAAATAAAATTCACTACTTACCGAAGACTCATTGGGAGCTGTTAATCGACCGAATGTCACGAAAATCGTGCGACGTTCCCAAACAGGTTGGTTTTCGGGCCGATGAAGTAAAAGCGATACACCAAAACGAGACCCTTCGTTTGCAGTTGCATACTAGCCGCTGCTAGTCGCTCGGATGGCGCAACGTTTCCCGAAGACTTGTCGCAAATTTCGCCTCTCCGTGATCCGTCTAAGGCGGACGAACGGGGAAAAAAGGAAAGAGAACAGTCGGGGATGCCGTTGATCGTAATAAGATCAGGGTTACGTAGTCCTGTGAACGAGGATCGACCGATCGGTGATTGAACAGGCGAAGAAAGAAGATCGAGGATGCTCCTTTTCCCCTCTTCGGGCCCGTATAAAAGTCCGAATGTGTCGATCCGGCCAACACAACGGTGAAAGATCGCCAGTGAAAGACGTTCCTCTTTGCGACGTCCACGTTTCGGCTTCGTATACCCTCTTAGTCGCCGCGAAATTCAACGAGCGAGCATGTTGCTCTATCTGGTGAGTTCTTCTGCTCCCACATTGTGGCCTCCCAACGAAAATTCGGTGGATCGTATTGTCTACGGGAACGATATTTCACGCTCGCACGGTCGTGATCGACGTCGCTTGAAAACGTAGGGATCGTTCGTTCGATCAGAAGTGAACTTTTCTTTCGCCACACGAGAGAAGCGGCCGTTCGAATCTCGCGCGACACGTTCGTCAATTAACGCTGAAAGCTCGGAAAGTGACCAACGTGTAACAACGGCATTTACTCAATCGTTTCTCAAGTTGTCGTCGTCGTGACAATTCGAAAATAAGCCAGGTTCTGTGCGAAACGAGCGTAGTCTATCAGTGTACTCCGCGCAACGATACGCAGAATTTCTCGGCACGGCGTTCAACAATTTGAAACGCTTTACGATTTTTTTGTTGTTGCTCTGCTATTTTCGTGGAAAACGAAGACCAGTACGTTTGCTTTCGACTGCGATTGTTGTAACTAGACCGCGGATCTTTATGCAAAATAAAGATCGTCTGCATCAATTGGAAAACGTAGGAGACGAGCACAGGTTTCCTTCTTTTTCTTTAATCATTTTAATAACTTCAAATTAATACAACAACGTTCTTAGTTCGCTTTAATGTGTCCACTGTTTAAAATTATACCTACTCGTTTCTGTCATAAATGCATGAAAATCCGTAGTCTAGTTGTAACGGAACAATGGTTCGGTTCCTTTGAAGTCTCAACGCGTTCCACATTTTCGAGCGCGCATGTACGCGCTCTGTGACACTTTCGAGGACAGATAAACATTTAAAATGATCAAGTGATCCGCGTCGATTCGTTCGCAGATTATAATTAGACCGTGAATCTTTACGCATTTTTATAACGAAAACGAGTCGGTGCAATATAAAACAGTGGAAGAATTGAACGAATTTAAGAACGCCGATATATCGGTTTCTTAACAGGAAGTCTATATTATTGTTATCGTTAAATGAGTTTATTTTTATATTTTTAGTATTAGCATAATTTTTATTAAAAGAAAGTTTCTTACTGATCGTTACCTTGTTTTGCATAAACAGTCTGGTTCTAATAGGTCGAATTTGTAGCTGTTTCTAGTGGCTTTCTCAATAATTATAATAATTATAATTAATTATCGTTAAATGAGTTTATTTTTATATTTTTAGTATTAGCATAATTTTTATTAAAAGAAAGTTTCTTACTGATCGTTACCTTGTTTTGCATAAACAGTCTGGTTCTAATAGGTCGAATTTGTAACTGTTTCTAGTGACTTTCTCAATAATTATAATAATTATAATTAATTATCGTTAAATGAGTTTATTTTTATATTTTTAGTATTAGCATATTTTTATTAAAAGAAAGTTTCTTACTGATTGTTACCTTGTTTTGCATAAACAGTCTGGTTCTAATAGGTCGAATTTGTAACTGTTTCTAGTGACTTTCTCAATAATTATAATAATTATAATTAATTATCGTTGAATGAGTTTATTTTTATATTTTTAGTATTAGCATATTTTTATTCAAGGAAAGTTTCTTACTGATTGTTACCTTGTTTTGCATAAACAGTCTGGTTCTAGTAGGTCGAATTTGTAACTGTTTCTAGTGACTTTCTCAATAACGAAACTTTGATAATAGACAAAATTTCGCGAAGCTCATCGATGCGATCTTCCTTTTTCGGTTCACATTTTCCGCAAGTTTCGCAAGCATTCCCTTGAATCGTGTCCCGCCGAGGGGACTTCGCAGAAATGTTACTTTTCGATCTGCCACGACGACGCACAGTCGAAGTACTTCTTCGCCGTGCATACGTACGCAATGTAGTGCGAATTACAGTGAAAGTACTTGCTCAAAATTTGATTTCGCAACGTGTAATCGAACGTTTAATATCTTTCATCGGGTCCCACGATCCCCGGCGACTTCATTTTTCAATGCTTTTACCGCGGTATCGACGACGACCGGTTCTTACAACTTTGGACCTTTCTGACCGCTACACGAATTTCACGATTTCACTCGGAAATTGATCGTTTTCTCGTCGGTGTTTCGAAATATCGGTTCCGTAATCCGAGCCTTTGTTCTCCAAAATTTTCATTCATTATTTCGCGGAGACTCGCGATTCCTAAACGAATCATTCGTCCACACATTTGTATACAAATCGATCCAGTCAAATATCTTCGAAACCGTCGATGATTACTAGTTTTTTTTAAACGGAATCATATTTTTGATTAGACTTCTCGATCCAGCTCGCCGTTCTCTTTATGAAAGTACTAAGGCATTTATTGCGTAAAATCATTTGTTTAGAAGATATTTGAATTTTAACACTGCAAAGATTTACGCGGTGTCTCTAAAAAAAGATATTAAAACTCAAATATCTTCTAAATCAATGATTTTTCGTAATAAATGCATTAGTACATTTATGAAGAGAACGACGAGCTGAATCGAATGGTATAATAAAAAATATATAATTTCATTTGAAAAGATAAAGTTGACCTTCGCGTGTCCTCGACACGAAAAATCTGATTAATTTCAGTTCAAAATTTCGTTTGAAATATTTTTTACTATCATCTCGACCGTTTCGAAGATATTTGAGACAGACCGATCCAAAATTCATCACTCGGTATATTTCCTCCGCGATTAGCCGGCCGCGAAGCATTTCAAATAGTAAACGAATCAATCATTTTCATCAGTATAATATAGAGGTCATTGTTACAGAAGCAAAGTAATAATTCCTCGGCTTGCATTTTTGCAATATTTCGTCGCATAATTCGTTACAAGCGCAATGTTTGAATTTTTATTCATTCGAAGTTGAACCTGTAATGTCAAAATTTTGCGTGCTTTCATTAAGTCGCAGTTTAATTATTTATAGCTTTTTTCTAACAATACAATTAGGTAGAAAAGAATCTCTGAATTTTCAGTTGTTCGAAGTTAAACCTAAAATATCGAAATCCTCCATGCATCGATCAGGTTATTTATAGCATTTTTAACGACACAATAGGTAGAAAACAATCTCTAAATCGTTGCACCGCGGTACAGAGAGTCAGAACAAGTTCCGGAGAAACTGAAATATCCTCTTATTTCAGCAAGAAAAGTTAATTTTCCATTTAAACAAAACGCGAACACGTCGCGCCGCGCCGCGTCGCAGCTCGGGAGGTCGAAAGAAATCGAGTTGAAAGAATTCTTATTTATGATAATGTGTGATAATGTTTACTGTGCGAGTTCATTTTACGCTCTGAATCGCCGGCGAATTAACAAGGCGATTCGCTCAAAGAAATTCACTCCGAAGAACCGTGTCAAGCGGAATGCGCCTTCAAATGATACTTCTGTTCCATTTCACCGCGCTCCTTCATACCTTGAATCGCATTATAAAAAACTGATAAACGACCCTACAGATTAGCTAAATTTAGTCATCAAGAGAAAACGTTCACTTATCCGTCATTGTTGTACAATCGTTTCGCACGCGGTTCAGCCATTCTTTTTAATTCAGCGATTTCTTGATAGGCCGTATTAGTGTTACTCTATTAGCGCGAATTGGACAAACAAACGTATATATTCAAACATTTAGCGGTTAATTGAGATCATTGTTACGTAATTATTTACTTTAAATTTGCGTAATTCTACGCTCTAAATAGTGAAACTGTTCGAGCGTTCGCGAGGTATCGCGAGAGTAAACATGAGAATGCCGTAATCTTCGGTGCTCCGAGTGATACTTTTGGCACCATATTTCATAAGCTTGCAGCACATCGTAAAAATTCATTTTTTGCTGGTTTTTAATTGTTCACTATTTTTGATAATGTTACAGTAGAACCTCGATTATCCAGTATTATAACACCTGCAAATTCTAGATTGTAATTCTTTATTCAGTTTAGGTAATGTTTTATGTTTAGTATTCAATTTGATGGCATCGTATTGTTGAAAATGCATATTAAGTTAGAAACGTTTGTCATTTATGCAATTAGTTTAGCCATTTATATTGCATTTTGTTACATGTTTTCGAAATATGTCGAACATACTGCACCATCTGTGGAGCCAAATAGAATTCCATGGTAATTAAAAGAACACGTTGGATATATCGTGCGATATATCGTTGGATTTTCTTTTGTAAAATTCACGTTATTTTTATTATAATGTAAAAAATATATAGATATACGTTCTTATTACAATTTGATACAATTAACTTTGAAATAAATTGAAGAAATTATAAAAATTTCCTATCGGTTTCTCGAATTTATTTTAATTTTCTGTGACTGTCTTGATACTTTTGGTGGGAATTGTAAATCGATTCAAATGCAACACTATTTGTTGTAGAAATCGGTAACTACCGTATATGATATTAATTTAAATATAGTACTAAAAAGTATAAATTTGATTACTATGTTATTTAGAATACTATTTGCTATTATTTAGAAAATTATTTTAACTCATCAAGTGTACGAGTAAAATATATAAATAAAGAAATAAATTGGTCTAACATAAGTAAATGAACATTGTTTTAGAATTAAATATAAAAATAATCGGGTAAATAAGTGACAAAAGCAAACAATTGTAAGAAAGTATATTCGAGTGCAATTTTAATAATTTGGTTGTTTCTTTTCTGTCAGTGGAAGACCAATTTAAAATTCTTCGCAATTATTAACAAACATTTCATTCGAAATTATGCATTCATCATATTCTACTACCCGCATTTTACGTTTGCTTATTTTAGTAATAAATTTACACGAAATATTGAAGTCAAATTATTGTTAATTAGCATACGTACGAATAATCTATTACGGTTCTACACACTTGTACATATAGTCTGTGTACAAAGTTGCTATTATATCAGCGCATTATACTAAATTTTTAAAACACTGTCGCAGGTCATATCTTTTCATAAACAAAACAATCGATTAAAATCCAATTAAAAAATCGAGAGAAAGAATACCGACTTGTGGTATGAGTTACAAATAACCAAATTGAATTAAAGTATTACTTGCACATTTATTCTTTTAATATATTTTTATATGAATTTATTAACCCA